AATCCATCCAGAATTACGCTAAGCTCGGTCCCTTGTTCGACAGGTCTGAGGCACCATGCCGAAAACATATTCCTGAATATAGTGTACAAGTATACGATACAGATTATGATATTGTAGCATATAGGTAATAAGCTATTGGATCGTATGTTGTCAGCTCCTGCAAGGACAAGGTAGCAATCTCCCTGGGCTTTAGTTTCGCCTTCCAACTTGGCCGCAAAACTCGTGGACAAACCCACGGCAAAAACCAAGAAGGCAAAGAATAAACAACACAAACCATCGGTAGAAAAAGCTTCGGTGAGAACCGAACATATTGCATTACTTTGGGAATTTTGGAAAGCAAAATCGATATCGCGAATATACACCGTGCCTCGCATTATTTCGGTTATTTATGACTTCAAAATTGGGACCCCTGGAAGCAGTTGCGCCTCTGCCGGGCCACACGCAAGTGGCAAAATGACTGCAGCAGCAGGACTGCTAAAGAAATGAAAATCGAGCTAATTAATGCACCATCAATTTTGAGAAAAACCCATTCGCGCTTACAAAGAAATTTCTTTCTTTTCATAATGCTTCTGTGGAGCAAGCTGTCTCCAATATACACATAATATTGTGCAATGTCCATGATGCTTGCAAAGAGCACCGTATAGTCTGATATTGCTAATTTGCATAACGCTATCTCGCATTTGCCAACAGTCCCAGGATCTTTCTTTTAAAGCTGCAAAAGGCAATTCGAACAGAAGGTCATTCAAAACATAGAGCAAGTGACCGGCGTAATCACAACAAACCAAAATGAAGAATGCATATATATATATATATGTTCAAATTTTATTAATGCCATACAAATATATTCTATCAAAGCATCAAATACAAATATTAAACTTACGACGCGCTCACGCGTATAATTATTAAAATTAAACATATCATAATAAGGCCTTATTCCCTTACGTACGCGTCCGAATGTTCAATTCCATATCATAAATAATCAATTTATTTATATTAAAATATCGAATAATTATGCAAATATATATTGTCATTTCAAATTTTACTATAATATAAATATCAAGAAAAATTATATATATTAAATATATATATAATAAATAATACATTTAAACACCCTATAATTATTAATCTAAAAAAATATATTATGAATTAATCAATATATATATATACATTTATTATATATATTTTTTATTAATAATTATTTCTTCCTAATAATCCATTTCCAATATTTGATCAAGATTTGCATAAAATGGATTCGGAGGTAATGTTTCAAATAGCCTGGCTGAATGAATGTCTTCTTATACATGAAATATATATATATATATTTAAATAAAACACACAATTTGGAATAGCCCTTGTGAATGAAGATTCATGTTTTAGTGCACAACTATTGTCATAGTATTTGGCGCACCAAATAAAGACCAAAGCTTGGAATATGCACTGAAACAAACAATCAGCATGCAAAGAAAGTATCTGTATCTAAAGCATCAACGGAGGTGGAATGCAACTGAGTGTACCACCGCTTTCCATCGTTTGAACATTCTCTCTATGTATTCACTGCTGCACACTGCACACTCTCAGAAAAATATACAAACTAGGCTGCCTCTGCAAACTGGCCATCTCGCGACTTGGTAGGGACGTTTTGTGCTGAACCTGCATAGGTCCAAAGCATTACCTCTTTTGAATTCCTGGGATGTTGTTTAGGACAATGATGTCTCAAGCCTCAACTCCAGCTGAAAGGGTGACATATTAAGTTAAAAATAGTAAATGATTGATTGTGGTTGCAATCCACCAGCAGAGACATTTGCGCCTAGAGATCGAGGAAAAATGTCTGAACTGCGTCCCGCCTTCAAGAGCTGGTGGGGTACTTCCATCCACACTTGCTCAAAGGTGTCCCCTATTTCCTGCGGAGAAACTGAGAAACTCAAGCGTTCAAGTGGTTCATCTCCTTGAAGCCTCTTTCGTGTTTATCCATGTTTGATTCATTTCTTGTTGATGGGAGGTACTGTAGGCTAAACAGTTGCACATTGTCCTTGGCATACATACTCAAATGAGAAAAGGGGTCGCTCAAGCTTTGAAAGCCTGCGAGGACATTCGCTTGATATCTCGTGTTTCCAACAACTAGCAGTTTGCTAGTCAAACAATCTCACTTCAAATTGTAGTCACAGGTGTGCCCCTGGCATCAAATCAGGAAAGGTCCGGCTCCTGACTCACACGTGAGCAATACTCTGTGACATCTGCTTGAGTCAGCCCACCTGGCAGCGAGAAGGAAAATGAATATAAACATGATTGAGCCTCAAGGAAAAAGGCACCTTTATTGATGGTCCTTTACAGGGGCCTTGATCAAAGGGCCCTTCTCTCCAAACCTCCTCAAGTTCATTGTCTGAGGGCGCCGGGCTTTGCTAAAGTTTGGAAGTGCTTCCCACATTGCGACGAGGCCGAACACAACTTGGACTCCACAGGACCGAGGGCCAAGCAACAATGACGCTACTAGGGGCTCCTGGCATCGCTACTAGGAGCAAGGACGCTACCAGGGGCTCCTGGCCGTACTACTAGGAACAAGAAGCTACTATAAACAAGAATTCAATAATTGTCCTTGCCTCCAGCACGTTGTTGCCTGACCAGTGCTGCTGCCAGTGCACTGGCAAGCGTGCAACGAAGGTTGCTGCGCGCAACAGGGCCCCAATAGACTGGCCTTGGCGACTTCACATCAACATCAAGGCTGGCTGTTGGACCAAAGAAGTGGATGCGCATACGTTTCAAATCACAGGTCTATCTATGAACCTTGCCTATATAGGACAGCTTTGCAGTTGAACTGATTCTATAATCACATTTTTTCAAAGCCCAGCGACGTGCGACAAACTCTGCAGCATCCTGGCCGAGCATTGCTCAAGTGAATCTGTGCACAGACTGTGCCACAACAGCAAAGCGTGCGTGCATTCTTTGTTTTGCCACGGATGTATGTATCCCGAAGACACTAAAGATTCTATATTGAACCAACAAAAGCCAGCTCACTATATGTTGTGAGTCCACCAGAAGAGCTTTTGACTCCATGAACTGTATTGATTGCTTCCATTTTAGTAAGATACCCTCTAGCTTCCAGAGTCTATCAGGCAAATTTTTGCACAGTGTCACATATGTGTGGGCTCAAAAAAAGAGGTGTTGCTAAAGAAAACAACATCTCCAATCTACATGAAAAAATCTCCACAACATATAGCTCTGCCTCCCAAAAAAAATATCATTCAAAAAAAACAGCTGCAACAATAGAACCTCACTGCAAAACCTTACACAAGCCACAAACAAACATAACATCTCAACAATCTGGCATGTCCCTCGGGCACGACCCAAAGGTGCCGCCAAACTTAAGCGGTAACAGCTCCAGAGCACATCTGGACATCCCTGGTGCACATTCTGTGCCAATAACTTCATTTAAGTACATGAATGCTGTTGCACAAATCTTTTCAAACAGCGCTGCGTTCAGTGGCCTGTCTGCATCAAGGAATTCTGTCCTCTTCTGAGAAAACCACAAAACAGCTCCTGCTACTTGGTTGTTCGGACCAGTTCTGGCCAATCCGTGACATTTACATCCCTGTGTGTATAAGATATGTAAATAGATGTAAGCAGCCATCTGTGTCTATATGCATACACAATCTATTTGTTTATAATCTAGTTGCCATGCGTGTGAGATGCCTATGCAATATGCACACATATACTACGCTCCCGGGAACTAACATGGAAGTGGAGAATGGCCCCTTGGAAACCAATTGTTCGCTACAAACAGGAGGAGGGAACATATAACACTTGTAATTTCCTCTTGTGCTTGGTGTGCATCTTCGTCTGGATGATGCAATCTTAAGCAGCTACAGTACTATGACAAAACATGTCTGAAGTCTGAAGTGGTTCTGTTATTTCTGGTGGGACTCTGGGACCAAAGAAATACTGAAACGCTTGCGAGTCGTGGCAAACACACCCATTGTTAAAAATATATTTTTCATGCATCACGTTCGTCGTTCGTTACAAAAAAAATCATAGCAAGGGGGAGAAAGCACCTCGCAAGGCATCAGAGCCGGCTGCCGTTATCCTTAGGGTACCAACATGACGAGCGTGTGTCAGACGTGAAACCTTACCCCTCGAAGTGGGAAACCACTCAATCATTCACCTTGCTTTCGATTGTTTACAAACAATTGGTTACACATGGTTACACCGTGTTTTGACAAACAAGCATTGTACGTCCGCTGCAAGAGTGCACCAAGCCCCAAGCATTCCCAACCCAAGGTGAAAGGTGGTGAAAGGTGATCATCAAACCTAACAACAACCAACCATGAATACCAACATGGGCCAGCTCTAGCACTCAATGCACCAAAACAACTGACAGGCTAGCTAGCTAAGTTGAGCTGAGTATAGCTCAGTGCTTTTGGTCAAGCATCGTTCTTTCCAAACCAAGTTCGCTAGTTTAATGTAGCGACCCTCCTAAAGGGGAAGTTCAAAAAAGGATTGCAAGCAGTTGTGCATAACATTGTTTTTCAAGCTGCGCCTCAGCATGACATGTGTGAGATTGTTCAACTGGGTGTCTGACATCTTCCAGAAGCAGTCCACGTGCAAGACATGGTTGCAGGACAGCACCAGCACACTGCAAACACAAAAAATGCGACTCATCACACAATGTGTGTGTATAAACTTAGATATACGTTGAATTATTAACATATATATACACAATCCCTCAATGCGCTCACCTTCACCCAGCACATTGTTTTCGCGCTCAGCCTATGTGTTCTAGGCTTCTTGCTGTAGTGCCAAGCTGTTTTCAGCTCAACATGTTGGAACTCGACTGTCCCATACCTGTGCCCGCAAACTGCCCAAACAGTTTTCTGGTTCAACCGTGGACAGCTCTTTGGATTTTTGTAGGAAACAAACGAGCGGCTTGCGCAATCTTGTCTTGTTGCACTGAGTCCAAGACTGACCACGCCTGCATGAGGAGAGCACTCTTCTGATATCTTTTAACACTTTTCTCTGCTGCCCATCGACCATGCCGCTGGATCTGCTTGAGTGTCTTCCGGAGATGACAAAAAGCATTGCTAGGCCCGCTGTGACGAATGGTGTGCGGTGTCAGATCTAAAGGCAGTTGCGTGGCTGTCACGGCCTGCTTGAAGTGTTCCTCATACATGTGTAGGGTCAGCTTCGGAAAAACTCTTGACTTCGAACCCCGGTTGTAAATTGCCGCCAACACCAGAGACAACCACGCATGGTACTGATTGTCAATCAACACACTTTCATTGTTCTCCCCCGTCTTTGTAGTGACTCCCAACTCGTCAGGAGCCAGAACAATGGCCCAGCGGGGGTACGCATTGAGCGCACGCCGAACCGGAGGACACAGTTGTAGGTGTTGCAGCGGAATGGCCGCATGTATGCATGATATTGGACGCCCATTGCTATTGCTGTGTCGACATGTCCCATCTTCAACAACTGGGCGCCCACAGCGCGCACTACCTCCTCAGGAACTGTGGCTTTCGCATTTGCGAAGGCTGCCGGCGTCTGAATGCCTTGAGGCCTTTCTTAGCTCCTGTCAGATAGGTCGCATCAGCACCTCTGTTGTACAAAAACTGATAACCATAAACTGTGTATGTTCCCTCCCAGATGTGTGCCCCATCGTAGTACAACTCTAGAAGGAAAATGCACATGGCCTTGTCTACCGCCTCATGGGTAGCCAAGGACCTCCGGCTGGCTCTCGCCCACAACTTGAACTGATGCACTGACTCGATGCACCGCTTCAAAGTTGGTTTTGTCACGGATTTCAAGCGCAGTTGATCCTTCCTCAGGTTTGAACCAAGTCTCAAGCGAGCTAGTAGACTTGGCTCGTCTAGTAGCTCGCTCTTCACGCACCCTGGCTACGGAGCCAGGCTGCTTGAGCTTTGGCGCGCTGCCCGAAGATGATGGGGCGCTTGTAGTTGCGGGCCCGATGTAAGGGCGATTGGACGGCTGGAGGTCTGGATGATTTTTGGCCTCTTCGCTGCCTTGTGAGATGGGGCATCTGCCAGCAATCTCTTTGAGGCGTTCGTGAACAATGTCTGCGAATCCTGTTGTGTCTTGGGCCGAGCAATTTGAGGGGCATGTTCACCTATAGTATGTTTGCCCAACAACGACACAGTGGCCAGGGATACTCTCCGGCGGCGGATGTCTTGTTGCGCCACGTCCACTGACCATCAACTGTCTTGTATTGCTCGCGGCCACTCAGGACTACATGTGTATGATCACGAGTACACCTTTGGGCCAATGCCTTCAAACCAACAAAGTTTGTAAGAAGGGAGGCAGGTTTCTCGCGCTCCTCCCGCCACGCACACTTGCGGGAGCCCAAAAAGTTCAACCGCCGGTCTAAACTGAAAGATTCTAGATGAGGCTGGGTTTTCCATGCCCCAGTATCTTCCTATGCGACTCAGGGCTCTAAACACAGCTACACAGAACATTGTCAGCTGAACTGCAACCGCTTCACGTGCGCGAGCTCGTTCGTGATTTGCTATGCCCTTTCAGGCGATCGACCAAACAGTGCAAGGCACCCCTACCACCCCAGGCCCTTGTTGATGAGGTCCAGGACCAGAGCCTGAGTAGACGGTCTTGTCAAAGCAAACTCCCAGCCCTGATAAATCTCAAAAGGATGCAAAACAGCCAAGCCCTGTGAACTGATAGCCGATGTCAGTCTCCCACTCCCGGAAAACAGCTCCAAAATGAAAAGGGGTGAGTGCGCCACCAACGCCCTCAGAACCCCACGGTCTGACCCTGTGATTTTGTCATAGTCCCATGTTGAGTCATTGCTCATGTCTTCGACATGCAGGGGCTGCATTTCCAGCCCCCCTTCGCCAATGGTTTGAAGTGTCTGCGACTCCCCGTCCACCTCCCTGTCTTGCTTCTGCCCTCTCCTCCACCTCTCTGCAACACCACGATCATGCCACCGACTGCTCTCATCTGAAGCATTGTCTGCTGATTTGACGTGACGGATGTTTTACTGTATCTGCCTGCTATGGTGTAGGCTGCACTGCGTCGGACTAGCTGAGTTAGCCCATAGCTCTTTGGCCGCCCTTTTTGTAAAAGCAAGCGAACTGGACATGTTGTCAGACAATGTCAACAGACGGGTGCCCATGCAAAAACGACGCCGGCAGTGTTGACGAAGTCCCATCAGAGATACCCACGCTTCTTGCTTGTTGATGTGCTCTGGCCAACAGGAGTTTGTATACTCTGTCTTGATGAGCCATTCGCTCTTCAACGGCTTGCGCAATGAGGGGACTTCCACCGTCTCCGAATGTCCTTTTTGAAGTTGCCTTCTGTCAGGGCCCCTGTACCTTTGTCGCAGCAGTGTATGGTATTCCAGGTGTTGTTGCATGAGGAGACCGTAGCTCGTCTTCATGCCCAGTGAGGCATCAGGGCGATAGCCTGACACCTCCTCAGCTGTGTGTCTCTCCATAGCTGGGGTCTCTTCTCTTTCAGCCTCTATGAGCCGCCACCTCTCCTCAAAAGACATCGCTTCCTTCACAGCCGCTGTCTCAGCTTGAGTGGTCATCAGTGAATGTCCTAGGAAAATGAGGCCCAACACCAGCCTCATCTCAGACCGCACCGACGGCCAAACCATCATGCGACTGCCCAGAGCTGCCTGTACAAAACGATAACAAGCATGGAGGCAAGAGGTTGCCGGTCGCATCAGCTGGAAGTGATTCACCACATGCCCCAGCCAAATCCGCAATATCTCACCTGACACTCGCCCCCCACGAAGTAAAGAACGGGTCGCCAAGTAAAGCCTCCAAGCCCTCTTCGACCTGTGTCTAATGCATCTGTGCTTCGTGTCAAAAACCATGCCCAGCGTTTCAAACTCTGCCAATGCCTGCTCACCAGCTGTTGTGAAAGGAACCCCAAGCCGCTCAAACCATTGAACTATCTTTGTCATATGGTTGTCAACGTCTTCTCGACAACCGCCCAACACTTGCACATTGTCAACATATGTCCCAATCACTGTTCCCCCTTGCAACACCTCCGGCGGAGGTTGTTTGTCTCTGGTCTCGGCACCCCTGCAAGGACAAGTTAACTGGTGAGCCACTATCTCATTGCTGATGTGGAGGGCCCAAGTCCAGCCCATGGGAATGCCTCGAAGACATCAACTTCTCTCCTGGCACCGGGGTCACCATTCTCCCAAACTCCTCGTCATAGGAGGTCCGGGAGAATTCCCATGCTTTTCAGCTCCCCTGTTGTAAACACATCTTTTGTTGCAAAATAGGAAGCCAACCCAAGTATTGCAAAGTTGTAGAAACAATCACCAACATCCCCTTCATTTCCGGCTGCCTCACCTAGGATACCCCCAAAGCCACGGCTATTGAACGTCTCCTCAGTCAGGTCGATGCCCGGAACGAGGCTGGTGTAGCAAGCCTTGTAGTTGGGGGTCTGCGGTGGTGGCACATGTTCGCCAACCGGCAATCCAAGATCAATCTCTGCATTCCGTCTTTCTTTTTGACAGTGAAGAAACCGATTGTGGACCTCCTCCTGCGTCTGAAACACAAAAGTCCCGATTCTTCTAGTGCAATGTAGAGCTGTTTTCGTTTGCTTCTGTCGTTCTTCAAGCTTGGGTCCCAATGCGGCTCCGTGGGAGCCTTCTCTGGTTGCTGGCATTGAATCTCCTCATCCGTCTTCTCAATGAACTGGGCCTGGTGTTTGAGCGTCTCCTTCACGGGAGGGGGACAGAGAGTCATGGCATCCGTCGGTCTCAACTTTCTTTTGAATATCTTCTCATGTCTTCAAGCATCGCCTCCTGCACGGCTGTCACTGAACCAGAGTTGTGTGAGCGCCTCGTCGGTCTCTTTGAATTCAACATCGAGCCGGCAAATCCGTTGACTGATCTTACAGCCTCGTTCATCAGCCGCTGGCCTAAGGTGAAAGGTTGTGAATTCCCAACCTCGGGTGGTAGCAGGAATGGATCCACCATGTCGACGATCACGACCCACTGTCTCAACTGGCACATGCAATCTTGGGGGCTGTCCTGAACGAGCCGCCATTGCGCCCCCACTGTAAGGCGGCCCGTCCCACTCTTCTCTCACGCCGTCGCGGCGGACCCTTGCCCTTGCCATCTCCTTTGTCTCCTCTCGATGATGCGGCCGCCTGATGTCTGAGCTCCTCTTGGTACAGGCGTTCTTGCTTCCAGATGGTGGCACGGGCTTTGAGAAGGTTGGTAAGATGCTCTGTAAACTTCTTTGTAACTGCTTCATGGTTAATGCTGGAACCATCTGCAATGCCACTGAGTCTGGCCCAATCTGTATGATATCGAGCCAAGCTACCAGGGCCCTCAACTATCGCCTCCAAGAACTCCTTCACAGCTCGGACTTCCCCGCCAAGGGGAAAGTCAGTCATCGTCTCTAGCAGCAAACCATCTAACTCCAACCTCCTCTTGCCTGAGTTGTCTGTGCAGACTCCCAGAAGCCGTGAATCCTGATCATCTTTCTTGCCTGCTTTCTTAAACTCCTCCACTTCTCATACAGGCATGCTCTGAATGAACACTTCCTCTCCGTCATGTGTCTCATAGATGACTGCGGTTTGATCGTCTTCAACAATGTCGTGAGGCACCACCTCACCCATAGTTTGCCTTGTCCCTTTGTGCAACGACCCAAACTGTCTGAGCAATGTCCATCATGTCCTCATCACCCAAAACTATGGCTTGTGCCTTGGCTGCACGTTTCTTGGACTCTAGAACTGCTCCTGATACTGGGTTTATGGCGTACACATAGGGACCACATGGGCTCTAGAAAATGCCGAGTGTCTCTCAAGGACCTTGTGATTTTGCACATTGAGGTCGTGCCTGTCCCAATAGAAGGCATTTGGATCAGCCGGGTGCTCTACGATGATCTGGATTTCCGGGATGTCCAAGGTCATGACCGGATTAGCCATGGAGTCTCAGATCTGATGGCCTCACAGGCCCTGAACGACGAACTATTCCAGCCTCCCTGGGCGTCTCCGAGATCGTGCTCGAACGAGTCTCCTCTCCTGAGTCCCCTGCAGCCGCAGTCAAGGCGGCCCGGGGCACAGTCCGCCGAGAGGAAAAACAACCGACAATCCAGCAAGCTGCCAACAGGAAAAGCTCCACAAGCAACAAACAACGAAATGCAACGCTCAGGGCCCGGTGGCAGAGTGTCAAATCTCGGATCGCAGTGTCTCCTCGCACCCACTGTATTGGCCTAAGGTGCTCCTTGTCGAGCTCAGTTCCTCTGACAGAACCCTAAGATCAAAACCGGTCACTCGGTCTTCAGATCCCCGAGTGCCGGCCCACCACAAAACCAAGGGCGAGAGAAATGACGGTCCGGGGATTCAAGGCAGGCATGAGTGCTTGAACATTTACATTGGCCACGGGCGAATATCACTTCTCATGGATTGTAGCTCTGCAAGCAGTTCCAATACACATCATATATGCATAGCTGCATCGTCAACATATACATAATAGAATCACGATCCATCCTAGGAAACGAGGACAACATCAGTTCTGCCAAGTCCATGCAAAGGCCAAACGTCCATAGGAAGAGACAATGAAACACACCCATTGCTTCAAACAAGACCAAAGGCGACCAAAGAACAATGTGTGGTTTGCATGCAGTCTCCATGATCCTCCCGAATCTTGTATGCTCAAACCCTAGATCCACATCCATCTATCAGCAACCTGTTGTGTTCCCGACTCCATACTCCATCCTAGGCTGTTCCAAGCCTGTCTTCTGGCTGCCAGCCAAGAAGGCATATTGGACAGGCACCCTGAGGTACCAACTTAGGAAATCCAAGAAATCTGCCAAGACAAGGCCAATCGTTGAATTGTGGAATGGAATGTCTTCTCTGAGCGCCGTTGGGCCATCATCTGTTTTTCTTGTTAGGTTTGGTTTGCTCTGTAAGGTCATATTATTCTTTCAGCCCGGAACAAACTGCTGAACTTTCATGCCTCAGGATCACGTTGGCAAACTGCTTTTGCCGTGGCCAAGGAGAGCGCTTTCAGTTCTTCTGAAGGGCCTCAAATGTCAACTGGACATGATACGATTCAATTGCCATGCTGGTGTGTGCAACAACGAGATCCCCATCCACTCTCGATAGATTGGAGTGTGCAACCCAAGGACATAGAAAGCCACTTCTTTTTGGTTCACACTTGGCAGCGTCACTCACTATGTCTATGTGCGGCCTTCTGCCACAAGCAGCTGAGACTGGTTGGAGGTGCCAACATGTTCTCATTACGCAATGATGTCCACAAAAGAAAAACATGCTCGTCTTTGGAACTTGGCAATATGAATCTGGTGATAATTTTACTTTTTGCAGAGTCCGAAAGCTCTCTGGATTGCGCTTCCTTTGGGAGCATCACCGTAAATACACAGGCTCTGGTCCACCAACTTGCCACAACTTCATAAAGTACTCAAGATACGAATGAAAAACAATGACCAACAATCATCAACACAAGTACGATTGAACAATACAATGCGTCAACGTGGACCAGAAGGGTCTTTAGCTAAAGTTGTTATGGGTGACAGCTGACTGACCCTCCTGCAGCTACCGGGCGAAATTAAAGACTCGTTTTGAATTCTTCCGCCGCTGCATGCTCCGACTTCGAGAGGATCTCTCCTGTCTGTGACAGTGTTTTGATTGAAGTGCCCGGACGTATTCTGACAAAACACAACATCGCATCAATGCAATGTCTACCTACCTGAATGTGACAAAAGAGCTTTCTGTTATACTGTTATACATATATATACATAATAAGTTATTCCCCAGATAGCGAAGCTATGAGGTTCTTACTTCAAATAACAATGAGTTGCCCGCGCGCGCTTTCGAGACAGGTTGCTGGTGCTGGGCGCCGGTGCCGGTGCTAGTGCTGGGTGGCGGGTGCCGGTCCTGGTGCTGTGAGCTGGCTGTGCACGCTGGTGCTGTGAGCTGGCTGTGCGCGTGATGGAGACAGGTTGCTGGCGCCGGTGCTGGCGCTGGGTGCCGGGCGCCGGTGGTGTGAGCTGGCTGTGCACGCGGTGGAGACAGGTTGCTGGCGCCGGCGCTGGTGCTGGGCGCCGGTGCTGGTGTGCACGTGGTGGAGGGTGCTGGTACCGGGTGCCAGGTGCCGGTGCTGGTGCTGCGAGCTGGCTGTGCACGTGGTGGAGACAAGTTGCTGGTGCTGGCGCCGGTGTGAGCTGGCTGGGTGGAGACAGGTTGCTGGTGCTGGTGGTGCTGGTGCTGGGTGCCGGTGCTGGTGCTGGTGCTGTGAGCTGGCTGGTGCGGGGTGCCCGGTGGGCGCCGGTGCTGGCGCTGGTACTGTGAGCTGGCTGTGCACGTGGTGGAAACAGGTTGCTGGTGCTGGTGGTGGTGCTGGGCGCCGGGCGCCGGCGCTGGCGCTGGTGCTGTGAGCCGGCTGCGGTGCCGGTTGGTAGAGACAGCGAGCGCCGGTGCCGGTGCTGTGAGCTGGCAGTGCGCGTGGTGGAGACTGGGCGCTGGTGCTGGGCGCTGGCTTTGCGTGTGGTGGAGACAGGGCGCTGGGCGCTGGGCGCGGGTGCTGGGTGCTGGGTACACCGGCGCTGGTGCTGGGCGCCGTGAGCTGGCATGCCGGTGCTTGGTGCTGGCGCCCGCTTCTGACAGTTAAGTTATAAAAAGCGCCGGTTCTGACAGTGAAGGGTAAGAAACCGCCGCTTGCAGCAGTGAAGGGCGACCAAGCACTGCTGCTGACAATGAAGTGCCAGCAGTCATGGGCCGCATGAACTTATGCGCACAACATCATACGGTGTTGTCGCTTGAGCGTTCTTCGTCTAGTAGCGCTGTGGGGTATTTACACTCTTCAGGTTCTGTTTTGGGCGAGAACTGTGTCAAGGGCTGTACTGTTGGAGCGCATACTTTTGTACGTATAATGTTCTATCCGCAACGCCAGGCTCTCAACCGACCATTGTTTCAGCATGTTTCAGCATGCTGCACACACACAATATTCGCGCTGGATACTGCTTGGCCTTGGGCGAGTGAAGCCTACGGGCTTTGCCGTTTGTGCGCATACTTTTGTGCGCATAAACCTGTACGCGCAAGATCATACGGCCTTATCGTTCTGCAGATCGTTGCTTCAAGCATGCTACAAAGTCAACAGTGGCGCTGGATACTGCTTGGCCTTGGGCCAATGACACTTATGGGCTTTGCCGTTTGCGCGCACACTTTTGTGCGCATAAACTTATACGTGCAGATCATGCGTTGCAAGATCATATAGCTATGGGGCTTCTTGCTGCAAATAAGAATGAGCTGGCTGCGCGCGCTTTCGAAAGGGTGTCGGTGCTGGTGCTGGTGCTGTGGTCCTGGGCGCTGGTGCTGTGAGCTGGCTGAGCGCGCGGACGGGTGGCGGCGCTGGTCGGGTGCTGGCGCCGCTGCCGGTGTTGTCAGCTGGCAAAGCGCACCGGTGCTGGTGTCAGCTGATTGCGCGCGCTGTGGAGGTGCTGTAAGCTGGCTGTGCAGGCTGCGTGCATTCTTGTTCCAGCCAGTCGCATGTCAACAGGTCGTGGGATTCTGCCTAGCTATCTGGGTCCATGCTGGTGTAATTCTTTTTGTCTCCAGCTGAAGCTCAATTGTGTCACAAGTGCATGTTGTGTCTCGTGTCCATCACAAGTAGCCTCCGACCCAAAGTGTCAGAAATATTCACAAGTAGCTTAGGTCAAGCCCTGCTCGCTGGGGCAATGTTTATTCTGCGTTTTCATCCACACCCTTACCCATATCATTCCTATCCGGTCCCGGAAGTGCGAGGGCCGCGGGGGCGATAGTTCTTTGCGATGCCGAAGCCGGTCTAAGGCAGCCTTCCTGAGATGTGGTGACTTACAATCGATCGCATCAGGGTCTGACAGGATCGACCTCCTGCTCATGTCTGGCACAATCACAATCTGCATCAAAAATGAATTGGATTCCAAACATGTCTCATTAGGTTTTCACAGAAAAATACTCAATGACCGCCAGCCGAAGCGTCTTGCTAACGAATACGATCCAACAAGGTTATTGTTTTTGAGGAGGGCCTATCGGCCTATCGCTTTTTCAGGCCCCAGACTTTCAACATAGCTGAACATATCCAAAACATTCCAAAACTGCAGCAAAAAAATTGTCACTTTTGAGGAAGGCTTTGGCAGTATTGGAATGTCTGTGTCGTGCGTGTGGCCTGGCAACTTGATATGACTCAACCAGACGTGATGTTTTTTCGACCAGATGTACTGAGCGCCGGGACGTAGCTTTTCACCCTTGTAGTAGCTTCTTGTTCCCAGTAGTAAGGCCAGGAGCCCTCTTTAGCTCGTGGCACCTTTTAATGGTGTTGAGTCCTGCTCCCCATCTCCTTCCTTCCAGGTTTACAGCTTGTAAGCGGTTCTGACACCGATAGACTCTATTTTCCTTTCAAAAAACCTAGGACAGTGCGGTAGTGAGCGTACTTTGCTGCAAAGTCAGAAACTTTGTGACTCGAAAGTGGGTACGCCGAAATGAGTTCAACAATTGTTAAGCTATCGCTTTTGGCTTTCATACCTGAAATTCTCGACCGCTCCCTACTAAATTCTCAGCACAAGGTTGTAGCACAGGCAGTAATGGGCAAACCTGAGCAGGTCGACTATGAATGCCCCATAGGACAATCGGTTAGAACTGCATTAAGACCCCAACGCTTGCCGTTCTGCCACGAGTCTGTCTGTCTGCTTTGGTCTCTTTGGCCTCAGCCTCTTTCCTGCGATCTTGCGGTTGGGCAACACAACTCCCGTGAACCTTGGGCTAGTTGTAGACCTGACCAACAGCTTCAGAAACAGGCTACCTATGCGAACTACAAAGTCTGGCCACACACTGTCACGCCGCAGCAGGAAAGTTGGATGGACACGCACTCAAAATATAGTATGTCTGATCTAGTAGTCTGCAGCGGGGTTCAACCACCTCCAAGTTCAAGAAGTTGCCATCGAAAGCGATTTCCAACAGATCAAATCCACGAAGTCAGTGCACATGCCGATGCGTGTCTGCCGACCTGAAAGACCTAAACAGCCACAACGAGTGTTAAAGCACTACAACCATATCATATAGCAGGTACGTAACCCTGGCGTTCCGGAATTGTATCACTGCGCAACCGATGTGTCTTCGTTGGTAGATATCTCCAGCCCCCTGCTTTATCAAATGCAGTGTCCAGAGACAACCTCTGACTCCAAGGTGTGCACACAATGCAGGATCCGCACTTGGCAACGTCCATGTTTGGGCTTCAAAAATAGGGACCCCTTTCTGTTGGGATCTCTGGCACACCTTTGAAATGTTTTGCTCTCAACTGTACTCAGTAGTGCCCACAAGAGCACTTACTGGAGTTGTTGCCTCCCCTGGACATCATGTCTGAAAAAGAAATGAAGCCTGTAAATGTTTCTCCGCTGGACCGAAGACTGCACAAATGAGTGTCTACTAGTGGCCATTACGAAATTACCAACATCATCCAACATCTAAAAGTCTACAGTAAGAGTTTAATCCACATCCAGTATCAGTTCCCTCACTGTCACTGCAAAGGACTTGTCTTTCAACTGTACTGGATATAAGTTGGTTTCAGCCGCGCCTTCGACCATAGATATCCAAGCCATTCTTTGCTTGGGTTAAATCCTTCATGTCTCGATGAGCGGTCCTTACAGCGAGAATCAAATGACACATTGTTACTAGTCGCTACCTGCTCCTAGTAGCGATGCACTTGTTACTCGTAGCGATGCACCTGTTACTAGTAGTAAATTCCAATTATATTTATTGTTTCTAATAGCTTCTTGTTACTACTACTAAGGCCCTTGCTCCTAGTAGCGATGCACTTGTTCCTAGTAGCTTATTGAATATGTTTGGAAACAAATCACTCTTTCAAATGGATGCAGCGGGCCTTTTCACCTGGTCAAATGTGCGGCTTGCTTCCGTGGTGGTGAACATGTTCAAAGTTGAAGCCATGTTTTCCTGTGATTCCAATGGCACACGTGTGCTGACGTGCAAGTGACCTCAAATGTTGCCACCATCTACTGTGATTTGCAGGGTGA